TTTATTATTTTATTTATTTATTTAGACAATTGTTAACAGTCCTTAATGCTAACATGTAATTGGGCTGGTTCTGTAAAGATTTGTACTATTTAGGATTCGAAAAACTAGTGTCTGATCAAATTTGAGGTTCTCACCCAGTTGATGCAGTGTAGAGAAACTCTGTAGTCTTGGTGAAGGAGAAGCGGACTTCACAAGGCAGAGAAAGAGGGTTGTCTGCTTTAATGCAGTGAGGTAGTCCCTCTTCATAAACATCCCAGCTGGGAAATAAGCATTATGGTATGAGTGCAGTATAATTTACATGTGACAAACCAGATAATGATTAAAAATACCAGTAAATTACAGAAAGCAATACAGGATTAGGTGTTATTAACTTTAGTAACATTACGTGCGTTCTTTGTGGAGTGCAGGATATTATATATGAACACACAATACTGGCTCTCACCTATACAGTTGCTCTCTCTGCTTCAGCTCCTTCTCTATACTGTACTTGCCAAGATGATGATTGTCATCAAAGATTCTTAGAGCTGAGAAAAACATTATAAAATTGATCTTTTTAGCTCTCTTATGTTTGGGGGGCAGTAAAATTGTAATCAGCACATTGTACTGTAATAGTCAAGAACGGTTTGACCAACCTGTTCCTTCTCTGAACAGGTGAACCTCATTGTCAGCAATCCAGCGGTAGATGGGAAAGTTGTAGATGTCTCCCTCTGGGGACTTCACTTTCACCTTGCAGGGAAACCAGGAGTCTTCAGGGAACAGTGGGAGAGGCTTTTTGTCCACCTCAATCAGCACCAGCTTTCCAAGAGAGGTGGGGCAGGACACCGAAAAGTTAGACTCCTGCAAATAGACAAAAAGAAGGTGAGGCTCTTTTCTCTGTCTGTGTGCAGAAGCATAGCCAGTGGTAGCACAAACATAGGTGCAGTTTCAAATTGCCAATAACATTTTAGGTAATTTTCTTTGCATATAAGTGGTATTTTTGCAAAAGTGCAAAGATTATTTATTTATTTTATGGTTTGTAAGACATACAGAGCCCCTACAAAATCACACGAATGCAGTTACTTTGATATTCATTTTTCATCTAAGGTAGAACACATTTAAAATAATATTACAATTATCAATGTGGCTATGGTACATGGTGGGTTGTATTGATGGGTGATTCTTAAAAGTGATTTAATTCTCAAATGCTTTTAGGATGCATGATTCACCCCATTTAAAAGTAGGATTTAATGATATGTATAGTTGCAGATTGCATCACCCTTCCCTTTCAAGCACAAAGGCAAAACTACCATAGCCGTGAAAAACGTGAAAAACATGAATAGCCCTATCTAGAGCCAGTGTTTGGTGTGTCCCTTCTGGGCTATTGTAGAAACACAGCGGTTTATCATGACTCCATGCAAAGCGACCCGCAGCGACTGTTAAAAACAACTCGTTCTTAGGTAACAAAAACACAACAATTCTTATTTTCAGGATATTACACACTAATGAAAACATACCTCTGAATATTATATTCTTATTCTGCCAATAGATCATCCTACATAATACACACTGGACCTTTAAAAAGTTTCAGGGTATTAACATTTATGAATTGATGAATAAATAGACTAAAACCAAAATTCTAAGAATAATTTCAAAAAGAGGAGAAAAAAATCTTTTGAATTGAGACTCCAATCTCAGAAATCTGATTTATTTGTCAAAATACCATACTGTGCAGCAAGGGAGTACTTGCACACAGAGAACAAAAAAGGAATTCAGACTGGTGTCTCACAGGATGTACAGACAGTGAAAAAAGAGTGCAAATGTTTCAGTTCATGTTGAACTTTCCTCAGTGCCAAATGAGGCATGCATGATGAGTCATCCCATATAATCTTATATATTGTATAAAGACAATAAGAAACATTAACAGAAAACAGGTCACATCTAATTCGTTATTTAAGCCGCTGGGGTGTAGTGTTTAAGGTAAAAGGTATGTCTGCAGTCACACTGGAGTGAAAATTGATGCACATTTCCACCATGACTGTATAAAATTCCCGGCTGGGGTACGATGCCACTCCTATACCGCCTCAGAAATTTTGTACACATGCATGCAATTCAGTTATAGATTTGATTGTGTGAATAGTTAATTTCCCTTACTTGGCTGGTCCATTCTGTTGTTATCTAAATGATTAGGAATCATCATGTCAATGCCACAGACAGAAATAACAAATAGAATGATTTCCATCTGTGCAGTGGGTTTAGCCCATAGGGAGGACTCATCATTTTGCTCTGTGGAAAGTCCAACATGGACTGAAACGTTTCTATGCACTCTTGCACATATTTTCACTACTATACAGCCCTGTCATGTATCAAATAAAAATATTTAGAAGTCAGATTTGAGTTTGAATCCCTTTCCGTTCACTGTTTGCAAGTCTGCCCTTGCTGAACTGTAACTTTTCCCTGACTGCTGCATCAGAGAAGAAGACAAACAAAGGGCAGTTTTTTAAGGCGCGGCTCAACCCTTGTGAACCACTCAAAATACCGTCCTGAATCAATTTTTAGAAAATATCATGTTTTTTTATATATGTTCTTTCTCTGCTTTCATTTGTGAGTGAAGGTGGTAATTTAATATACATTAGAGTGTTATAATTAGGATAATGGCCTGATCTCCACACAGAATATAAAGGTATATTTGTGTTAAAACATTAGTAGTATGCAAGTTAAAGAAATATGCTGCACATTTCAACAGTAAGTGTGAAATCCAGGGATAATCAAGACTCACTGCTCCCAGGTAAAAGGTGGCTGTCCCTTTAATGCTTGTGAGCCATGTACGTTTACTCTCCCCATCTGTGCCCACCAGCTTAATGAAGACATTGTTTGTAGTGGTGGCCTGAGCAAGGTTTGCAGTGGTCACAATCACTTCATACTTGACCATTTTGGCTTTGAGGAGCAGAAGAACCCTGGTGGAGAACAAAGAGTGATAATAACCACAGTCAATTAAATAAAAAAACAGTGTTACAGTTAGGACAATATGCTGCTAATTATGTATTAATCTTGCCAAAATCCAAAAATGCAATATTGTGAACCCCTACCTTCTTACCTTACATGTGCTCTTCAAAAAAACTGTCTGCAGTGGGTTTCCGTCTATACGTACAGGACAGATTTTTGGAGTGTGTCCATGATGGATGTCAAGTTGTACTGTAATTTAAGATGTAAGAGGTCAAACTGAACAAATGACTCAACGTATTAGTATGTAACTGATCTCCAACAGTAATGAAAGAGAACAATTTACAGTGTAAATGCAATAAGTTGATGTGGAAATTGTCTGCAAGCACTCGGAATGAGCAAACGCTGATAAATATATTGCGCAATATGGAGACAGACCTCATGCAGAAAACTGAGGAAAATGTCTCAAATGAAAAAGATAGGAATGCCTTACTGTTTTATACTTTTCCAGCAAACAAAGGAATAAAACCCAATTGGTTCTTTCCTCAAAGGTAAACAACTTTCAGCCAATGTACAGAAGCCATGTCGAAAATCTGTTAATACGTAATCTTATCAAATGTACAATACCAAATATGGAACTTCCTTATTATGATCTCACAGAACATCTGGTTACACTTAATATGTTTTCACAATCTTCAATCTTAGACTGTATAAAAGACTGTATAAAACACCAACTCGCGGCTTCAAAATGGAAGCCCACAAACAATGGATTTACACTTGTCTTTAACATGGGCCTCGACACAAGCATTAATGAGCGAGAGAGAGAGCCACATAATAGTTAACAAAATGAATAAATGATAAAACTTAATGCTTCTTTCACAAAGTCAATACAATACTAACAAACAAATAAATGACACAAAGGAGCTAAATATGAAATAGAATCTAGGAAAAATCTTTTTTAAAAATGACAAAACAGAAAGATCAGACTAATGACAATGATAAAAAAAATTAAATAAACTGAACATGTTGTTGTCGAATTGCAGTAGGAATGAACGATTGAGAATAGCGGTTAATTTTAGCTGAAACATTACAACGTATTGATGGCAGAGAACATTCACTTGCAAGAACATGTCCTGAAACAGCCAAAATACTTGCTGCGAAATATAAACAATGAAATGCAAAAATCACCAAATGCAGGTTAACCATTTTGAACCAGTTGGCTCATACAAGCTCACCAAACAACATTTCATTCTTGTGTGAAGATGTAAAAGCATAAAACACTGCTTCTTTTGATGATAACAAGGAAGTCAATTGTTTTAGTTCAATGTTATCACAGTGCTTGTAAATGTAGGACAGTATCTTATCACTCATCAGATCTTTATTAAGTTCGTAAAAAAAGGGAAAAGTCAATCTGTCTGAAAGTTGTGTAATGCTTATATCAGTGTCTCTATGTTCTGTTGTGTCTACCTTTGTTATATATCTGGTTGTGTTATATTTTGTTTCAACGGTAAAAGGGGAGGGGGAAGGGGAATACAGCCGCAAAAAAAGTGACAAATGATTGAGAAGTTTAATTTAAACCTTTAATAGTCATTTTTAATCACTATGAAGAGTATGCTACTATGTTTAATGAGGGGTTTTGCTGGGATTATTAAATGACAAATCAACTACATTAATTTTATATTCATATACAGCACATACAGATCAAGCTATAGATCAGTTTATCAACGCAAGGCTATTATGCAACACAAACGCAGTGCAGACATATTGCATAGCTCTCCCAGAAAAAATAACTGACTCACATTTTGTTCATGAAAGATACATGGGTTTATAAGGAACTTCTCAGTGTAGCAGCTTCATATTTTGTATTTTACATTTGTAATCTCTTTTGATAAGTTGCCCTGTATATTCATTGACATCCCAAGAAAAAGATTTAAGATGTAGATTATCAACCACAGTTTTCACGATTCTGCTGTATAAAAGGAGACACAGATCAGCATACAATGAAAAAAAAGTTCACAAACCAATAGGTGACATCACATTGGATTTAAACTTGTCTTCAACATGGGCCTCGACACAAGTACTAATGAGCGGCAGAGAACATTCACTTGCAAGAACATGTCCTGAAGAAGCCAAAAAACTTGCTGCTTTCTGGAGGATTTGTAAAGTTAACAAAGTCTTTAAGATGAAATATAAACAATGAAATGCAAAAAT